GGTAGCTATGCTGGAGGTTTCAATCGTAAAATATCGCACATGACAAACCCCAAGACGATTGAGCTTTTAGCTGCTCGGGATGGTGTTTGTTGGGAATTAAATCAACATTGGCAGCAGGTATTATTGGAGAGTGATGCTTTACAAATAGTTCAAGCAATTTGAAGTCTGAAGGAGGAGATCCACGGCCTCTGATTTGTTGATTGAGGACATTAAAGTAAGTATGAGGGGCTTTGTTTCCTCTCAAGTATATCATATCCGTAGATCCGTCAATGTTGCAGCACATCGTATGGTCAAGTTGACTTTAATTTCCAATTTCAATTTTTGTTGGTTTGAGGAACCTCCAGATTTATTGGCGGATGTCATCCTTGAAGATTGTATGCCTTCTTCCTAGTTATAAATAAAACCACTATGGTTTCTTTTCCAAAAATAAATAAATAATAATAACAGTAGTGGGTGAACAAGAAAATGTACCCAAAGAAAAAGAAGAGAAAATGTTAAATTTATTGACAAAAAATATGAAGAAAAAAATGAGTATTATTTAAAAATCGAGGTGTAAATTAAAAAAAAAAATACTTTTGGAGGAATAAGGAAACAAACAGAGATAATTTTGAATTAAAAAGGAGATAATGTTGTTGACTAAATTAATTACCAATAATTCATAACTAATATCCCGGCAAAGGAAATAAAAATAAAACCTATAACTAAAAGGAAAAATTTGAAAATAAATATAGGCCTTTTTTATTGGCACCCCATAATGTTATGAATACACCCCATTATCTTGTATTTAGTCTGAATTTCCTTTTCTACTGTCACATCCTAGACCGGCTTCGCCGTAGCATGATATTGTCCGCTTTGGACCACGCCTTCACGATTTTGTTTTTAGGAACTCATGAGCAACTTCCCAGTGTGTTACCTATCCTGGGATTGCTCTAACCCAAACTCGCTTAACTTCGGAGTTCTGATGGAATCCAAAGCCAATGAGTTCCCAAAAAGCCTCGTGCTATAGGGAGGTGGGCATGTACATATAAGGCACATCACCCCCTATCCGTTGGTTGATGTGGGATGTCACAATCCACCTTCCTTAAGGGCCCGACGTCTTCGTCGGCACACCCGCACCACACGACATAGTGGCTCTAATACCATTCTGTCACATCCCAGTCTCGGCTCCGTCATAACACAATATTGTCATCTTTAGGCCCCGACCACGCCCTCATGATTTTGTTTTTGGGAATTCAGACGAGAACTTCCCAGAGGGTCATCCATCATGGGAATGCTCTCGCCTGAACTTGCTTAACTTCGGAGTTCCGATGGAATCCAAAGCCAATGAGTTCCCAAAATGCCTCGTGCTAAATGGAGGGAAGCATGTACATATAAGGCACATCACCCCCTCTCCGTTGGTCGATGTGGAATCTCACAATCCACCCCCCTTAAAGGCCCGATGTCTTCGTCGGCACACTCGCACCACACGGCAGAGTGACTCTGATACCAAACTGACATACCCCGACTCGAAAAGTCCAATTGGACTTCGAATCGAGTTGTGCTGGCCTATAGGGTGACGAAGCCATAAAGTGTAGTGTAGTGGAAAAAGAATGTGAATAAATTTAAACATAAAAGTGCCTAAACAAAAGAGTGTGCGGGTGAGCGGGATTGCATCTATTTCACACGTGATGGTAGAGCATAAAAACAATACAGTAATTAGGGTGAGGGTTATACCACTGAAGATAACTATCTCCTGAAATTTGCCAGAACCCTCGTTTACACGTAAGCCCAACTACTAAACCTGAAAGGGCGAAAAACAAAGTTGAGTGGGTCAACAAAACAACGTTTGTAAGGCAAACCTTTATTTTCGAACATAATAACCCATCGCTATAAAATAAGTATAGTTTCCTTAAAATCAAACATACTACAATATAAGTATGAAGAATCAAGCGCATGCCAACAATATATATATCTCAGAAATGTGCCAAAACATTAATAATTCAGCCACAATAGAAATATAGGCATGTGTTTGACAATATACTAACACGCAAGTATATACTAACATCAGTCTATAGTAACACACGAGTCGGAGTCACCTAATGTGACATGTACAACAAGCTAGGTGTAATAATAGACGCTCTAGTGCTACGATCACCTAAAGCTTGCTCTAAGCGCAGTCAACTACAAGTCGAACCTTCCGAGTTGGTGAGTAAAAAATTGTTACATCCCAGACTCGACTCCGTCGTAGCACGATATTGTCAGCTTTGGTCTTACCATTCCCTCACGAATTTGTTTCTGGGAACTCAGACAAGAACTTCCTAGTAGGTCACCTATCATATGATTGCTCTCATCCGAACTCACTTAACTTTGGAGTTCCTATGGAATCCGAAGTCAATGAGTTCCCAAATAGCCTCGTGCTATATAGAGGTGGACATGTATATATAAGGCACATCACCCCCTTTTCGTTGGTCGGTATGGGATGTCACAATCCACCCCCTTAGGGGCCCGACATCCTCGTCGGCACACTCGCACCACACGACATAGTGGCTCTAATACCATTCCGTCACATCCCAGACTCGACTCCGCTGTAGCACGATATTGTTTGCTCCGGGCTTACCAGTCCTTCACGGATTTGTTTTTGGGAACTTAGACGAGAACTTCCCAGTGGGTCATCAATCCTAGGATTCATCTCGTTCGAACTTGCTTAACTTCGGAGTTCCTATGGAATCCGAAGCCAATAAGTTCCCAAAAGGCCTCGTGTTATAGGGAGGTGGGCATGTACATATAAGACACATCACCCCCTCTCCGTTGGTCAATGTGGGATGTCACATCTACCCTAATTTAAATTAGATAAAAGCAAACAAACAAAACCAGCACCATCTTCATCATCCTAAATCCTACTCATTTTCGATAGCTCCCCACCTTGGCACCTCCATTAACAAAATGATCTCAAGTATGCCAAAACATATGCCGACTTACAATTAAACTAGCCAATAGTCTCATAGAAAGTCAATTCCTAGTTGACACAGAAGGATTGCTTCTCTGCAAGTAACATTTTTCAAAACTTTCACGGCCATGAAGTTGGTATCCTTGATTAGGCTAATATCGACATTATAAAATTTAATTTTATGGTATTTCATATCCTGCAAAATATTAGCGGAAGTGAGAATTCTAGAGAGAGAGAGAGAGAATAGCGAGAAATGGGGTGGTTATCATTGGCCGACACCGACTAAAAGGTGGCAGAAGGGTGAGCGGTTGAGATAGGATGTTAGAAGGTTTTAATTTCTTAACTATTATAAAATGGTGGTCTTAAACAATGAAAGGGCTAATATTGGAATTTTAAAGAATAATTTTGAAGTTTGGATGTATTCATAAAATTATGGGATGTTAATAAAAACACCCTAAATATATGGCATCTTGGTTTTAAAAAACAAAAGTTCCATATAAATAAATTAAAAACAAATATGTTGACATGGCCTTTAGTCAAAGCGCCTTGATTAAAGTTTGAAACGGAACGAATGTTTAATAAAAAGAGGTAAAAGATGAGTGAGGGATTTTACTTATCTCTTATTTTATATAGGTAAGTAGAAGTTCTCACAATAGAGTGTTTGATATCAAATTATTGTCAGTTTATTGTGAGGAAGTTTTTTTTATTTATTTATTTTTTTAATTTTTTTTATAAAGGGGGATAACTGGTGACAAGTCACGGTTATTCATCCCTTTCGGGGGTTGGGAAGACTCACAGAGGCATTTCCTAGCCACAAGTCTGGCTTCTACACTAGTAACGGGTTTCGAACCCAAGACCTCTAGTTTTTAGTTTTAAGGAAGTCTCGTAATCCGCCCTATGTTACCCACCAACAAAGTAGTTCACAAATAACGAGTTCGATACTAAATTTCACTTTTCGTCTCTTAATTTTCAAGTGTGGCGAATTTTGTTTGTATAGTAGGTAAACTAGTTTTCGGTGGGTAATGCGGGATAACTCAATTTTCAAAAGTAAAAGGTGTTTTAGATGCACATGGTTCCAAGTTGGAATAAGTTCGGTAGCGGATCATGAAATCTTAGTGATATTCTCTATCTAATGAATAAGGAGACTGCTTTGAAATCGTCTACCCTGCACCCACCCCTCAAGTATATGCTTCAACAAGAATCACACAAGGTAGATTGATACAATAGAAACCTCTGTAAACTTCCAACCCGTAATCCAACTGATAAAGTACATTACATAGTTCGTTTTAGGGATTGACGACTTACCCGTTTAGTGACTTTAGTATTTACCGTTTTTGGAATGGATAGCATTTGACGTTTTTGGAATGGATACTATCGTGGATTCATTAGAATTGTATATCATTATATTCTTTTTATATCTTTCTCTCACCCTTCCATTTATATATTATACTTTATATGCTTTACAGCTCATAATGTATTGCTTTACAACCCATAATCAGATTTTTTTTTAATGCAAAAAAGATTTCAATTGCTACAATGATATGACTTATATATCATATCTTGATTGGCTTCTTTGCTTGCTTTTCTCGATCAAGCATTCATGTGCTCAGCAAAGAGGTAATAGCATTTGGGATGACAATAAATTATTATTTTTCGTTAATTAATTATTTTAGTATTTAATATTTTGATTAAATTATTATTTTTTAAATGCATAGAAAAATTATTATTTTTGCCACGTGACACAAATTTGGTAGTCACGGCAGCACAAATGTGGATCCCATATTTGCCACATCATCACTTAACGGTTTACTTAATGGATTTTCTAATGTACGTATGAAATTGAAATAAAATGGTAAGTATATATATGAAATTGAAATGTTTTAAAGATGTTGTATGAGATTGTAGTCGACCCCAAACCTAAGGGGGTAAAATGTAATATACCCTAAATTATTTGAGCTTTGTGTGTATGTGTACACACACATATAATATATATATATATATATATATATATATATATATGTATGTATTTATATATATGTATGTATGTATGTGTGTGTGTGTGTGTGTGTGTGTGTGTGTGTGTGTATTCCCCAGCGGTGGATTAATGTGTGTGTGTGTGTGTGTGTGTATTCCCCAGCAGTGGATTAATGTCGGTCACAGATTGACAGAGAGAAAATGGCCATGACCAATGTCCAAGAAATGTCTATGGATGGTGAGCAGCCACCTGCGGAATATATTGTTAAAGAAAGTAGGTTTGGATCCATAGATTCTTCTCCACCATTGGCTGATGAAATCCCCATCATTGATATCAGTCTCTTCTCCCCATCATCTCCTCAATATTCTGAACAAGCAGAAAATCATGAGCTACAGAAACTCAGATCAGCACTCAGCTCGGCAGGATGCTTCCAGGTTTCCATTTTCTTTTTCTTGGTAAAATTATATATGTTAAAGTATATTTTGTTGTCTCTGTATTCTCCATGTTACCATGTTAGACATGTAAACGAATCGGACTCGACTACATCTTATCCAATCTAATCCAATTCAATCCAAAGAAGAACATAATTTGATCCGATCTGATAATCTGATGTTTTTTCGTTGATGAAATTGGACGGATTATGGATAAACAAGTTCATATCTGATTAACTGAACTAATGGAATTCAATATTTATATTCATGATGGATTAATGAATTCAGGCAACAGGCCATGGGATTTCGGATTCACTTCTTGACCAAGTACGTGAAGCAGCAAAACAATTCTTTGCACTTCCGGTGGAAGAGAAGGAGAAATACTCCCGAACTATTGACGGCGGCTTCGAGGGATACGGTAATGATGTCATAGTCTCCGACAAACAAGTTCTCGACTGGTCCTATCGTCTCATCCTTAAGGTCTTCCCGCAAGATCAAAGAAAGCGTCATCTTTGGCCACAAATTCCAAATGATTTTGGGTACGTACCTATATTTTGGGTACTTTAATTAATACTATTCTCTTTTACAAACGTTAATGTCTAGTCTTTTATCTTGAGCCAATTCCAGTCAGCCGGCCCCCTTGATCGGGAGTCTATTTTCTCCACCATCATTGAACCGTCACAATTTTGTCGCTTAATTTTAGTTTATAACCATAACTCAAGAGTTAAGACCTCAAATGTTAGCGGTAGGGTTATTTCATCTGAAAAAATAAAATTCACGAATTAACGTTTGGGTAAGAGAATTTTTGTATATGTATATAACATATTTAGTAAAGAATCATCACCGTATAATGTGCGTAATTTGTAGAGAGATGTTACATGAATATGCAACGAAGATAAAGTTGATGATGGGGTTAGTGTTTAAGGCAATGGCAAAGTCATTGAACTTGGAAGAGAAGAGCTTTGCAACGCAGCTGCTTGGAGATCAATCCCTGATGCAAGCAAGGTTCAACTTTTATCCGCCGTGCTCGAGATCTGACCTGGTCCTCGGCGTCAAGCCTCACACGGATAGGTCCGGCGTGACATGTCTCTTGCAAGACAAGGATGTGGAAGGCCTTCAAGTTTTGATAGATGGAAAATGGGTTAGAGTCCCCATTGTTCCTCATGCTATTGTTCTTAATCTTGGTGATCAAATGCAGATCATGAGCAATGGGATTTACAAGAGCCCCATGCACAGGGTGGTGACAAATGGAGAGAGCATGAGGCTATCGGTTGCCTTGTTTAATGAGCCGGATCCCGAAACGGAAATTGGTCCGGTCGAGGACTTGATCGACGAGACAAGGCCGAGGTTGTACAAAAATGTCAAGAACTATGGTTGTATCAACTACGAATGCTATCAGAGAGGGGAAATCGCACTCGAAACCGTCAAAATCTAATTATGTGCTTACTATTTGAAACAACAATTCTTCTATGAACGTGACATCAGATATCAATAACATTGATAGTGATTTTAATAATAGTAAAATGTTGCAATATGTTATCAATACATTATGTTGTATTATTAATTTATTATTGTTATCATCATCAATAAGCGGTAGGTCTCGGGTTCGAGACTTGGGAGCAGCCTCTCCATAAATAGGGGTAAAGCTAGCCGACATTCACCTCTCCCAGACCCTGCGTAAAGCGGGAGCCTTATGCACTGGGTATGACCTATTGTTATCATCATCAATGTATTTTCTTCTTAGATTAAGGTTAACAATAATAATGATGATAATTACGGATTCGTTAGGGGTTGATCTACCCCATCACTTTTTGTTTGATATATTACAATGAAAGAAAATGGGATCCTATCCGGATCTCTGAGTCTAAAGCTTAAGGATCTAGAGGTCCAGGCTATTGGAGAGAGAATAGAGATCTGGGCCCTTAGTTTATTTGAGGTGGATCATTGGAATAGACTAAGGAATAAACTAATAAAGATCGCATAATTTAAAATAAGTGGTTCAGATGTCCAAGTCTTTAAACTTCAAATACAAAGATCCAAAGAGAACCCCAATTCCAATTAAAGGGATGACAACAACTTTATTTTTTAGCAGTTGGAGTGTTGCTGTGAACGAGTCTTTAAGATGGCAAAAATCCAATTTCAGTGTCTGTATGGGCTCACAAATGGGTTCCACGTAACTTAACAAAATTCCAATTGATCATCATTCATCACTGATGATCTCAACATTTTGAAATCGTATTAAAAAGACAATATTGAGTTGTGTTTATTTATAGAGAGGCTTTGGATGCAGTCCTTAGTCATGAATATTCTTTTATTGAAACCTTGTTAGTTTTTAATTTTTGATTAAGATCCCTGAAATTAATGTAATAATTTATTTCTATGTACGTTACTATTTTTTTAAATTAAAAATTAGAAATTTTAGTTGTTTGTATAAATGAGATTTTAAATAAAAAACCATAATTTGTGGGATTAAAAATATTAAAATATAATATACTATTGTGTGTGTGTGTGTGTGTGTGTAAACATGGGTACATTCATCAAAATTAACCAAATAAAGCAAAACATGGGTACATTCTTCAAAATCACAAAAAAAACGGAAAAGAAAAAGATATTAGGCTTAATAACATTAGTAAAAATTTCTTCGGTTAAAGTTGACATAGATACATTTTAAAATCAAAGAAAAAGAAATGTACCCATATAAGTTTAAAAATGGATTAGAAAAAAAATTGAATAGATTTTTATATTAAAAAATGGTACATTTTACATATAACAAATTTGTATATTTAAGAATGAGTACATTTTAAGATTAAAAAGTTTTACATGAATGGGTACATATAATCAGCATGGGTACATTTAGCACAATAAAAAGTACAAATAAAAAAAATATATGGGTACAAATACAAATAAACTTTAAAAAATATGGGCACAAAAAGAAATTAATATATGGGTACAAATTAAAATTGAAAAGAAAATTGGTACAAATTAAAAAAAAATTACAAATTAAAAATGGATACAAACTAACACTAAAAATATATGATAAAAAATTTAGTCATAAATATAAATATACTAATTGTAACATTTTTAACATTAAATGAATATATTTAGAAATAAAAAATATTTTATTATTGAAATAATTAATGATTTATTTTTACCAAGGACCTTGATCAAAAATTGAAAATGAATAGGATTTTAATCAATGGAGTAGTAAAAGGAAGGATGAGAACCTAATTTTTCCTTATTTATATTCTTTGGATTGAATAAGCATTAGTATAGGTGTATAAAAATAATTTTCCAAGTCGAGATTTCCATTGTTTTAAATATTGAGACGCCACCAAGACAGTCAAATATATCACCTACATTTCTAAACCTGCATAATTTTATATGCAAAGAGTTGAATACATCTTTTTAATACAAAAATTATTCCCCAAGTCGAGATTTCCATTGTTTTGAATATTTAATCAAATATATCACCTACATTTCTATACCAGCATAATTTTATATGCAAAGAGTTGAATACGTCGACCATTATATAGAGATGATAAATACTTAAACAGGATAAAGCTCTTTCATTTGTTTTCTTCCAAGTTGATGTGCTTTCCAAGAAGTGAAAGCCATGAACGCAGATCATTAAGTTGCAGCTCAAATTCCAAAACCTTGCTAAGATGGAGTTATTAGGATCTAAAACTGTCCAAGAGGTACTCATCCAAGGGGAACAGGTGCCAGATAAATATATCCGTAAAGTTGAAGATGGTGGAGTCCGAGTCCCAGTCCCAGATGCTTCTGCTGCCCAGTTGATGGATGTTCCAGTCATTGATCTTGCTCTTCTCGCAGCTTCTTCAATCACTTCAGATGAACTTGAGAAATTCAGATCAGCTCTTGCCACATGGGGTTGCTTCCAGGTCTCAACTATTCAAACAACTTGTACTTTGAAAAAATTTTAGGACTCGTTTGACCATTTCATTTATATGATTATTGCAAATCATGTTGGTGTGTCGGTCCACTCTCGTTCAAGTTTGAGAGGAGCATTTTGTGCCTATGACGGGGCACTAAAGAGCTAATCTCGCATAATCCTTATTTGAGAAAAAAAAATCATGTTATGTTTGGAGGTTGCTTTATTAATTTGGTGTTCCAGGTAATAAACCACAGTATGTCGCCGGAATTCCTAGACGAGGTCCGAGAGATTACAAAACAGTTTTTTGCACTTCCAGTTGCAGATAAGAAGAAATACTTGAGACAAGTCAACGACATTCAAGGATATGGAAACGACATGGTTTTTTCAGAGCAACAAACACTAGATTGGTCTGATAGACTATACCTTTCTGTGTATCCACAAGACAACCGTAAGCTCAAATTTTGGCCCAAAAATCCGGACTCTTTTAGGTAATTAACTTGTCTTTGTTGTACGGACGTGTGTTTTGCCAGTTGCTTAGGGCAGTGTGTTCACTGCCTAAGACTCGAGTTCAAATTCCTCTTCCCGTAGATTAAAGTAGTTTAAAATATCATCTTTTGCACAAATCATGTTAATGTCAGTGAACATTATTGCAGCCGGACTTTAGACCAATATGCCATGGAGTTACAAGTGGTAACAAAAACTATCCTCAAGGCCATGACAAGGTCATTGGATTTGGAGGACAATTGCTTTTCCGACCTATATGGTGAACAAGGGAAAATGGCTATCAGATTTAACTTTTATCCTCCATGTCCAAGGCCTGATCTCGTCCTTGGTCTCAAACCACACGCAGACGGAACACTAATCACCCTTGTCTTGCAAGATAAGGAAGTTGAAGGTCTTCAATTTCTTAAAGGCGATCACTGGTTTCGAGCTCCCATTGTTCCTGACGCGCTTCTCATGAATATCGGTGATCAAGTAGAGGTAAATCATAAATTGTTATCAACACTGTATTCTGTGGCAAGAAATTTTGGGCGTAACAGTCAACAGAAGACGTGGTGTTACTATTCTACATGTGGATACGTAAGTTGTTGTTTGTGATGCCACAGATATTGAGCAATGGAATATTCAAGAGTCCTGTACACAAGGTGGTGACAAATCCAGACAAGGAGAGGATATCTTTGGCGGCCTTCTGCATGCCAGAGTCGAACAAAGAGATTGAACCTTTTGAAAGGTTGGTCGATGAGTCAAGACCAAGATTGTACAAAAAGGTGACCAATTATGATGGCATCTATTTCGAATACTATCAGCAAGGGAGGAGACCAATTGAAGCAGCGAGATTATAGCGTGTAACATTACTCCCTCGAATAAAACTTATAGTTGTCGAGATGTTTCGTCTAGTTTACTAAGAAAACGAAAGTATGGCTCAAACCCTCTTGAACCAAAAACTCGTACCATCTTGTAAATTCGAGTGGTTGAAAGTTGAAGTTGAAGCTTACCTATTTTCTTTGCCATTAAGAGCAACTCCACCGTTGATAAGGCCCCCAAGGCTATTCACTATTTAATCTACCCAGTAAACAGTAATTGTCCTTAATGAACAGTAACGCCTTTTACATCTCCACTCTTACACTGAATTCTTACACTGAATAGCCCTGGCAATAGGCAATAAAATAATAGTATTTTTTTTATTTATAAAAAATACAAAATAATTATTTTAAGAAAAGTAAAAATTAAAGATTAAAGATTAAATATGCAAATTCCATTGCAAAGTTAATGCAGCTTCTCACATTTTAACTAGTCAAATTTTGACTAAAATTTTCATCTTTAAAACAGTTTGCTCAAGCAATTAACTAATCAAATTATGCGATTCTAATTTTTAATTAGAAATTAGAAACAATTAGCTAATTCGGAACTAAAGAATTCAGCTTTAAAGAATTTGATTTAGTTAATTAGTTAAATTACGAAAAATTAGGAACTGTTAATCAAGGCGGAAACTTTGAGCTGACCTTGTCCGCTGTAGAGCAGTGGTACTCATATGCGAGCTTGAGCAACTCAAACCGCTGTAGAAGTAGGAGAACGAAGTCGCGGTCTTGGCGGTCACATGATCCACTCTCGAAGGCAGTGGTGGTCATGAGGCGGAGATCGAGGAGCTCGGCCTGCAGCACCTTGTGGAAGCAGACGAGCAGGAGGATCGGCGTGTTGGCGAGTAAGACACGTGTCGTGGATGCGGAGGACTCCCCTTCGGGTACTCATACGCGAGCTTGAGGAACTCAAACTGCTGCAGAAGCAGGAGAACGAAGTTGCGGTCTTGGCAGTCACATGATCCACTCTCGAAGGCAGCGGTGGTCACGAGGCGGAGATCGAGGAGCTCGGCCTGCAGCGCCTTGTGGAAGCAGACGAGCAGGAGGATCGGCGTGTTGGTGAGTAGGACACGTGTCGTGGATGCGGAGGACTTCCCTTCGGGTTCTCGGGCTGGCAACTTCTGCCAGGCCTCTCCCTCGGGCCCACTCGAGCTCCATCGCCAACACACACTAGACCAAGTTGCTCAGGCTTTCTGGCCCTGTTTGAAAGCCAGTCCACCGGGCTATTGCCCACGATGGAACTGCTCTAAGGCCTTCATAATGTACCGCACTTTGGGAGTTAAGGTCAACCAAGAAAATTCAATGTTTGAAATGGGAGTGAATAAAAGTGAGCTTCTGGTGATATATTGATATGTGTAGCTCCTTAATGAAGTTTTATTTCAACGTTTCTACAATTTTATAACTTTTTATTTTCATTTTCAAAGAAAGGCTTTTTGCAATTTCATTTTCTGGCCATGCACTCCTCTCATAGCACGTGGATTGATTGAATAAATGAAACGAGAATTCAATGATAGAACTGAAAGGAGGAGTGCATAAGGAGAAAACGAGAGGGAAAATCACTACCTCTATCCAACCATATTTTGTCGAATTGTACAAATTTAGATAATGATGGACCACCAACTGAAGAACGCGTGGGTATATACGAGACACGTAGAGAACCATACAGTAAGCTCCGACTTTCTAGAAGAATGATTAATGATCACTACATGCCCATGGATAAGAAGATGATGGAATTGTTGATCAGGGAACTGGAAAATGACGAATCCAATAATTGTATCATGTGAAAATATTACAATCGTTTATGTTTCATGCCCTATCTGAGTGCACACTGTACAGTTAGATAACTTAAGATTTTCTCTCTGTTTCTTGTTCCATGGGTAAAACTGCTTATATCCATATTTTCTTGTTCCATGGGTAAAACTGCTTATATCCACATCCATGATAAGTTAAAATGACGGAAGCACTTTTGGAATCAGCCATTTTACTTGAAGCTGTTGATTCCGCATGCTTGGTTTAGAGCCAACTTGGATGCTTATTCGGTACAAAATTTGCAAAGTTGGACAACATCTGGATTCAACTTTCATCCTAGTCAATACAACGACGTCGTTTGTAGAACGACACAATTTCCTGTTCTCCGACTACAATCCCATTAAACGACGTCATTTCTGTAGTTCTCTGTCCCTCCCCCTGCGTAATGATCATCGCTACTCTCCATCTCTCGTTCCCTCATCCTCCGTCTTTTCACTCCCTAGCGAGCGGCGCGTGCTCCCACCGCCAACCTCTCTCCCTGTCCCACCTCACCTTCTCGTTCCCGACCTTACACATCTTAAAAAACCCTCCACTTCATCGGCTCCGACGATCAAGCACTTCATCGGCTCCGACGATCAAGCTCGCCGGTGACCCAACCGCCGCCAATGGAACTCAACGACGAGTCGGATTTCGAAACCATCGCCACACCCGACGGCTACATCTCCATCTGTGGCTTCGGTTCCCTCCTCTCCGGTACGTACAATCTTCCCCATCGCCGTCGTTGTTTTGATGAGTTTTTTTTATCGTTTTGATGAGTTTGATGTTTGCGGGAAGCAGAGAGAAGCGCGAGGAGTACGTTTCCGGAGCTGATCAACTTCAGAGAGTCGCGGTTGAACGGCTTCCGGCGGGTGTATGCTCACATGGCTCCCATTTTCTTCGAGCGTGGCATTGCCAAGCCTGATACCAAATTTTGTTAGAAGCTTCCTTTTCTGTTAAGTTGTGTCATATGAATTTCATGGCTTATAATGAGCAACATTTTTGTTGCACTTCCACCCTTCTAAAAATGGTACCCAAAATCCCTAAGGATTTCAGGGATAAAGATCGAGGAATCTTTTTACATAATTTGATTTTGTTATTGAACTGGGAGAATTAGAAAACGGAAGGGTCTCGAGACGAGAAATAGTATTAGACAAAGAGCTACTTGGTCAGTCAATGAGACCCTTTCTGAAGGATTTGCCTCATTTCCTGGACATGTTTGTACTTCACTTTTATTGGTTTGGCATCACGTATTGCATTTTTTTCTATAATGCAATGATTCATTGAGTACCCGAAAAATGAACTACCACATTTGAACATTGAGATCTAATTCCTACTATGCGATACTATGGGACATTGTAGCCACACCCCAGACTTCATACTAGTTTGGTTTACCTGAAATTAACGAAAAAAAATACTGGGACCATAAAATGTGTTTATGAAACACATTTTTCACAATTTTAGATGAAAAAAAACTAAAAAACTGAAGCAGCAAAAGTGGGCTTTAAGAAACTGTTTCTCTAAAACACGGATGAATAATATCATTAAATGAATCAAATTTCCAAACCTACCATTCCTCTCTCTCTCTCTCTCTCTCTCTCTCTCTCTCTCTTTATTGTACGAGAGCAAAATTTCAGATTTGAAAATTCAGCTTTGGTTTGGCATCCTTCGACCTCACAACTCCTTCCTCTCACCTTTGATTGTTGCTTTTTCATCTCCATATCGCGTTCTCCCTCGTCCTCCCATACTTCGTTTAAGCAATCACAAATCTTCCTAACGGTTTTTCTTTGAAGTGTACAAAAAGGCTCAAAACAGATATAGTTGCAACTCCAATTTCCCAAAGGTTAGACAAACTTATTGACCAGGAAAAAAAAATGAAGTTTTAACAAAATACTCCTGGTGCTGTTCACTTTTAACGATTGCACGGCACTTGTGATAATATAGATATTACACGGCACTTGTGATTATGGAGGTGTAGTTAGGATTCATTTGTTAACCATTGCATTTTTAGCTCTTAGTGTTTATATTTTCTGCTAGATATTAAAGGGAATTTAATAGGCGCGAAAGAGATGGAGAATTGAGGAGGTGGAGGTAGGAATGTAAGAGAACATATATTGTTAGTGTCAAATTTTCTTTTTATGTACTCAATTTCGATCACTATTTTCTCGCCGCCCTCTTTCCTCCACCGTCTTCATTTCTCCTTTCATATATATATATATATATATATATATATATATATATATATATATATATATATGTGAATTGCCGATTTAGTTTCTGAATTATTATCTCAGTAAAAATTAGGTCTCTTAATTATTTTTCGGTAAAATAAGTCCTTAAATTCATTAAAAATTACTAATTTCATCCTTAATATTATATTCAAAACTGTTTTATCCAATTTTTCATCAACTTAAGTCACTTGACATACTTTAGAGTGTAATACCGTCATGTTCTCGCCTATAAGCCCTCAACATTTCATATAAGTTGCGAATCTAACGTCTAATTTTCCCTTTAAAGTTAACTTGCACTATTTCTTATGAAAAACTATCAATTACTCTCCCATGTGTATCACATGCAAGTAACGTAACTTAAATTGACGGAAAATTGAATATAGTAGTTTCGAATATAATATTAGGGATGTAACTGGCAGATTTTATAATTCAATGACTGATTTTTCAAAAAAAAAAAGTTTATGAATTTAATTTTCATTGAAGTGATAATTTAAGGACTAAATTGATATATACATATATATATATATATATTTGATCATGAAAAATGAAAACTGAAAACAAAACACGGAAAAATTTGACAAACAAGCCCTTAAAAATATGGTATAGCCTATCATTAAATCTAGAAGATGCAGGAAAAATAAAAGAAAAGCTAATAAAAATGGTTTGAAAACTTTGAATTTTAACGATAAGGATAAAATAAGGGGTAAAGTGAATAGTACCATAATTGATTTTTTTTTATGTAAAAATATGGTTTTTCGTTAAAGTGAACAATACCGAAAACTTTTCATTAAAGTTTCCAAAAGTAAAAGGTATGCGATGCGTAGGAAAAATGGGGAAATCATTTGACTAATGTTACCATTGGTAACAAAAGGAATCTCATCGGCTAACTGACCTATGGTAGTTAGGGTTTCAACGTTTTACTGGATCCCGGGTCCAAATTGGTCACTTGGATTGCAACAGGCATTAAATTAAGCGCAGCAAAGTAAAGAAAGGGTGCGTTTGTTGCACCGGACTGTCTCAGACTGGACTAGCTTCAGAAACTAAGCTGGATTGGCTTAGACTAGATTAAGATGTACTAGCTTAGTGAAGCGTTTGGTGCAGTGTCGGACTAAGAAGCAGGATAATGAAAATCAATGAAAAATAAACTTATTTGAACAATCACAACAAAAGAATTCGATAATACGACATCATAAACTAACCAACCTAGATTCATTATAGAAGGAAAATTGAAATTAACTAAATCCACTTTTCTCTACTTGCCCAATTCAAAACCAAAACCAAACAATTTCTTAGAATTAAAGCATAATAATAAATTTCTCACAAAGCCACCCAATAAAAAAAAATGGGTAAAAAATTGTATTGTAATCCTTTTGTCCATCGCTATTTAAGGTTCTGAAATGTGGGCCCATAAATTGTATTGCTTCCCAAATTGAACGACGCCGTCGCCACAACCATAAATCAACAAATCCAATTGATGGCGCTACAGATCCATCTTCGTCACCTTCGTGCAGCCGTGGTCGACCCTAGCCTTTGGGCCGCCGATCTTCGAACTCAGTCTTCAAACCCAGCCTTCGAAGGTCCAGGCTGTCGTCATCGACCCCAGCCCTCAATTGATCGCGATAATCAAATAAACTTTACCTTTTCTAATTGATCCATCACCCAAGACGTGTTCTGTCACCTCGGCGAAGAGGAGTGGGTGGTGCCGAAATCGATCCGAGTTTGGGTTGTCGGTGCAAAGAGATAGAGGAATGGAGAGAGAGGATGCAAAGTGCAGGAACAGAAGCGAGAAGACGAAGGTCTTAGCAATCCCGTGGTTTTGCGGGGTTCTCGCTAAGAACTTCTAGTGAGGCCTTTAGTCGACACAAATCTCGGCTACCATTAAAGCTAATCTGCGCGAGTAACAAACACGGTATTGGACTAATCTTTAATCTTGTCTAGTCCAGTGAAGGTTAACAAGTGCAAACAAACGCACCCTAAAAGTACAAGAGCACAGTGTTCGTGCTTCTAAATTATATATATACTAAAAGAGAAAAAAGCTTAAAATACTGTTTATAAGCACAGTGTTCATAACTGTTTATCCAATCGTTCCCTGCCATTAATCACCAAATCTGAGCTTTTCACCGTCTGCTGGTTCGGCAGCTGATTCCAATTGCAAATTTAGTGAGAGAGAGAGAGAGCTGTGGACGGTGGAGGAGAGTGAGAAATGGAAGTGGGGTTGTATGCATGTGAATGCGACTGTTGGGGGTGGTGAAAAGTGATAAACCTACTAATCCTACATGTCCTTCACGTCAACAATCCGTGTCAACTCATCACCCACAGTTTGAATTATACGGTTCTCACTCATCTTCAACAAATCGCAGTTTGGATAACACACAAACTCTTCAACAGATTGAGAAGAACCACAGTCCTTCTCTAACATGACTCTATCATCACCGTGTACCTTAGCTTTCTATTTATGTATTTTGTAATTTGAATCTCATTGTAATCTTGGCTAACAGATGCACTGTAACTACCTTATCTTGTATAACCTATATAATGAAGTACAGAACTCACTCATAATTAATTGAGTTGAGATTTATGCAATCACTTTCTTCAACCCTAGTTTGAATTCTTTCAGGAAGGAGGAAGGAGGTGGCGGTTATTAACCATAAGAATGTCAGGTGGCATAATCTCTGCTATGACATGTGTAATGATCCTACAGTCTTGATTGTTATAGTTAGTTACAAGTATCCTTGATGGTCAAGTATCCTAGTCACTATATATGTTGAGCTAAGTCATTTTCCAATGTAATAAAAACTGCTATTACTAACAAAGTCTTCTTTCTCTCTTCTTTGACTTTTCGCATTCCTTCTATGATCTATCTCTTCATTTCTATGTGCTAAGGGTTGCTTTGCCGATCTTCTCTCTTTTGTTTTTGCATAAATAGTCATCTGTCGACATTTGTTTGACTAATCAAGTACCTTAAATTACAAGAAATTACTTTCTCTCTCTCTCTCTCTCTCTCTCTCTCTCTCTCTCTCTCTCGCTAAAAATCATGATTAGCAACCTGTATATTCTAAGCGAGTGATTAAAATATTGAGAAAATATCTTTTCATTTCTTAATTGAAAATAAGCTTACACTTGGTATTTATACAATTGTATAGCGCGCACACACTTGTGCTGCCAACTCATCCTAACTACCACAACAAACTTAGTCTAACTAATCACACCACTAACAGCAGATGACAACATAATTAATCAAGACTAAGTTTTATCTTTTACAAGAGAATTGTCCTTAATATAGATGTCATCACATTCACGGAAATGAACCATATATTTCAATTCGCGAAATATAATTAAACCCACCATTCGCCAATTCGCGAAATATATTTAAACCCCAAATATTACCATTCGCCAATCCAAATCCCATTTCCCTCTCTCTCTCTCACTCAAAAATGGAGCAGAGGACCCTAGAGCTCGAACTCATCAGCCAAAGACATCAAAGACGTCAGACTCATTCTCAAGATGGACGTATACGCCGTCGTCTCCCTCCAAGTCGACGACGACTCTCGCGGCAAGCAGCAGAAAACCATGACCAAAGTCGCCCGGGGATGCGGGACCCATCCCACCTGGAACTTCCACGTGAACTTCGTTCTCGACGAGTACCTAACTCAGCAGAACCGCCTCTTCATCGTCTTCAAGCTCGTCTGCCAGCACAGCCACGGCGACAAAGACATCGGCCAGGTCGTCGTCCCCGTTAAGGAGCTTTTTGACTCTGTCAAGGCTGACGCTGCCTCCATGAAGTTCGTCACTTACCAAGTCAGAAAGCCCTCTGGGAAGCCGAAAGGTGAGCTCAATTTTTCCTCCAAATTTGGTGACAAAGTGGCGGCTCCACAGGCAGCGGTGACTGCGGCATCATCGAAGGGTAACGAGCCGGTAACAGCCTATCCGGTGGTTCGACCGTCAGTTCAGCCGATGGTGGGGTACGGTGGATA